ACATCTTTTTACACCTATTAAAAGACCAGTGTGTAGAATTTAGTGGCATCTAGTGGTGTAGTTGCAGATTACAACCCCCTTGCCTCACCCTCCACTTCGAAGCGCAAAGGAGAAACTACGGTGGCCACGAAGCGGTTTGTCCGTTCTGTGCTACTAGAAAAAGATTAAGTTCAACACTGCAGCATCCATGGAAGGTATCTGTAGACAGAAGAGGCTCAGCTACAGTAACAATGACTCTTGTTTTCAGGTGATTGAACTCTAATGAAAACATCGTTCTGCATATTATATTCCATTTCTGCCAACAGATCCTAAATGTTACACACTGGACCTTTAAAAATACCTATTTTAGTGAAGATGACACTTTTACTGCAACAGAAAACACTTCAGCAAATCCAACGTGCATTCGATTAATTCAATAAAAAATAATGGACATTAACCAATGTTTTTTATTACCTTATTATTAATGAACATTATACATTATTACTTTAGCCTTGAAAATATGACTCCTATAGCTACTGTATCTAGCAGCAGTAACAGTGTTAAAACAGGTCTGATGTTTCTGACTGAACAGCCTCCTGTGTGCACAATCCACTGTCGCCTATCTTAACAGATGTCGTGTTCACAGAATTTCTTATACACATAAGAATGAGAAAGAAAACACCATTGGATTTGTATTGACAGGAATCTTTTTTACGTGCACTGATATGACTCAGAAACAACTTCATACTTGACTGGCATTTTCCCCCAAATTTGAATAAAAGAAGAACATTAAATATGCAAGATCAGGGCACCCTGAGGGCTTAGGGGCTTTTTATTTTGTTGCTTCACCGGTTTGACTCAGGCCAGGCACCAATGTTTATTCATTTAACTTGCCATCTCTCTCTCTCTCTCCTTATTTCCTGTCATCTGCTGTTGTCTCCCTAATGAAGACATAAAATGCCAAACAAACTTGCAAAATTAAAGACAAAATTGACAGATGGACATTCTGTCAGTGCAGTTCCACAGTGAAAATCAATAATAACCCAACAGGAAGCCCCCGATTTTTTATTGAGTCACAGCCAATGTTTTCAGCTGCCGGCCCCTTTCAGGGCTCAGGCTAAGCTGACGTCCTAACGGCCGAGCAAGCTGTGCCACATAAAAGCCATTACCAAAACGTAATCAAATGCCCATTATCTTTAAATGAGTGTCGGCAAGAAATAGTAATTCATTACAAGTAAATAGACTAATATTTCCTTTCACGCCAGCTCATAATTTCGATTCAATTTTTAAAAGGAAATAAAGGCCTCTTTTGTTTTGCAACTGATTAAATAAGACTGTGTTTATGGCACAGAGAGAGGGAGACATTTTAAAAACTAGACACAGAATTAGGGCTTTCACAACTACTGAATATTGCCAGTAAGTATTGCCAATTTTTCCAAAACAGTTTTCTGGTTTAACACTAACACCAATGTACTCCAAAACAAATACAGACATGAACAACATGATGTTGGTGTGTAAGCTCTACAAATACAACTCATACATGGCCCGCTGACCAAAATAACGCTGACTCTCGCTGCTACATGGACATTTAAAACACTGAGACACTACAGGTTTGTTTTTTTCCTGAAGTGAGATGTTTTATACTGGAGGAACTCCAACTTGTCTGAAATAAAAAGCACCTCTGCTCACTTTTAACTCTGGTCGTAATATCCCTGACCAGTTGGCAACTAGTTGTTTAAGTAGTCAAAACCCTGAATAAGCTACATTGTCCAATAATAATAACAATAATAATATGTATTAGAATAATTTGTGACATGTCAAAACAACAGAAACAACCTCTCAAATTCACAGTAATATGTAAGTGTTCAAACTTTCTGAGGCTTTTTCTTTGTCTGGCATTTATCTTTAATAAAACTCCATAACATATCAAACAAAATTCAACCTAAATCTGAAGAAAATTAGGTTGAGTTAATTGCCAAGATGAGAAAGATGCTTCACACGACGATGTCTTGTATTTGCCACTATTACAGCTGTTGACATGGTGTGTGTTTGTGTGCGCCTGTAGCTAAATCTAATCAGCTTTGGTAATGAGCATCTCCTGCAACCTTGCTTTGCCACTTTGCTGAACAGACGCACCCAGTTTAGTGTAAAAAGGAGGGGGAAATTAGCAGTGGCTGCTCAAATCACCCCGGTTATAGAGGCAGGGAAGGGAAATGGGTTGTGACTCCAAACATAGGAGCTAAGCCAAAACTCGTGGTCCTGCAGCTTTGCTTTCTGTTGGTGTGCAGACTACAGAAGGTGTATGTGACCTGCAGTCACCTCTGGGACTTAAAGCACTTACCTGTTGCCTATATTGTGCATTTAAACTTTATCAACATTTTTCAATTGTTTCTTTAATGTTAAGAGAACTAAAAAACATTTTTTTCTGCATGGAAAGAAGTAATTTTACTTTCTAAATGCGGCTGGTTATCAGATCCAGCGTCTATGTTTGTTTATACATGTTATTGTGTAAAAACAGCAGACCTGAGCTCAGAAGAGGAGAAGAGAAATGAAGAATGCAACAATTTGGGGGAAAGTATCTCACTTTAAGAACTACAGAAAGTGTATAAAAAGCCGTAACATGGTACATCTGAAGAGGACACCGAATGCCTTGCACTCTGTCCTGCGGTTCTAGCTACGGCTTAACGGATCTCGTCATGCTTTAGTGAAAGTAGGCAAAAAACCGCAGGTCCCAGACCACAAGACCACAGGCCCTGCCCCTGCCGATGCAGACCGATGACTGGCGATCAGAGCTTGCCAGTCGTCGTCTGGTCTTGATTCATCGTCATTGCACACAATTAGGAAATCTGTTTTGAGACTTTTTATGTAACACTTCCACCTGTAATTTCACCACATCACCACAATGTGACAACAGCCCTTCTGAGCCTGTTCAGCAAAAGGTCTCTGTGATGAGCAATCACCTCAAGCACAGAGTCATTAGTGGGAAAACCTTTAAACAACACTTTTCAGTGGAAGTGGAATGAAGAGGGTAATGAGGGACTCAACAGAAACAGCATGTAGCCACCACACCAAACAAACATTAATAAGAGCCTGAAAAAAAGCTGACGTGTGCAGAGAAAACTTGTTCAAAAGAGCTGGTAAACCAACGTACCCAGTGTTGCGTAACGGTGCGAGCCAAGGTGTCAGACAGCACCCATGCGCAAAATTCTTCTCAGCACTCGAACTTGAACTCTTCGGCAGTGTGAAATGGGCGGGCTTGTCATTTTACAGTAAAAGCCAGCACACAGAGGGGACGGCCCGTGTCACAGGAGCTGTGCTTCAAGGGCACGGTGAGAAACGTGCCACAATGTTTAATGAAGATCTACTTTACCTCCTCTACACACACACACACACAATGAGCAATGACAACACTACAGTCTACTGAGAGTAAACATTCAAAGACTAACTGGTGAGGTGTTGCGTCACATCAGAGTGCAGTTCAAGCTACGTTGACACAGAACTTGGCCTACTTAACTAAACCTGAGCGAATGACACAGCTCTGACATGTGAACACTTACAAGGGGAAACATTTGGACATGAACAAGGAACTATTTTTGCTTTAAACAGTGACCCTCGCGTACTTTTATTTGGTCCGAATGGGGAGTTGAATCCTGTAAATGCTAGACTGGTTGGACGTGTAGCAAAAGGGAAAGGAAATATTGATAAAGGTGCTTCTGGTTGTATGACAAGAGTGAAAGAGGAGGTAATTATAAAGCAATAATCTAATCATAAGTGTTTGATACAGTTTCTCATGTAAAACTTGCTTAGTGTAAATGTTTTAGGTGTAATTATCTACAACCTCAACTAATGTAGAAACCAAACGGTAAGAAATATAAGACAAAATTGAGCAACCGCCATCTATTGATTAAGGTCCGGAAACAGCTACTGAGAGGACCTTGATGTAAGATTACGACCTTCTTACTTCACAGAACATATTCTTTTAATGTTTAATGAAAATGATAAAACAACTATCTTCATTATCTGTTAATCTGTTGAGTTTTCTTCCCATTTAGTCAACAAACGATACAAATATTCAGAGCCAAAGATTAAGTCGTTGGAAATGACTTATTTTATCAGACCAGCAATCGTATCAAACAGATAAAAGTTGCAAATGTTTTGGCATAAATTAGTTAATTAATTATCAAAATTGTAAGCAGTTGTTTTAGCTCTGTAGTATTTCACCGAGATCCAGGACTGTCCTACTACATCTCACACTGACTATCAGAGGGAATCAGGAATCTTACTAGCAACTTATACGTTTAAAAATGATGTAAGGCGGGAGTATAGTCACAAAAAAAGTTGATTAACTTCAACAAAGATGAGGCGACTTCTATTAAAGAAGAAAAGCAAGTAAAATCACCGACAGCGCTCCAGAAAAAAAACATATAATACGAGAGAACGAAAGACTGCTTACTTCTCTGACAGTGATTCTGAGTCCAGCAGCGCTCACTGAAGTGTCCGTTGATGGTGGTCGTCTGACAGGTGGTCTTTCCGATGGCCGCCCCGGGGCACACGTCGCCGCACTCTCTGTCGTTCTTGTTAGCCATGATGTAGTTGTCCTCCACAGTGTCCAGGATTTTGGACCAGTCCAGAGTGGAGAGGTAACAGAGATCTGGGTTCTTCTCGATCCTCACGGCTCCTCGGGTGATGTTCATCAAGCTATGGAGGCCGATCTCTCGCAGCTGGAGCATCTCAAACATCACCAGAGCGTAGTTGAAGAACAGGTTGTTGCCTCTGATGACTGTTAGGTTGGGGAAGAGATCGCTGAGGCTCTCCAGGCCATAAACCCTGAAGAGCAACAGGTAGTCGGTGACCACTATCAGTTTGGGGAAACTGAGGCCTCGGAAATCCTCTGGCTTGGTCCTGAACATGAGTAAGATCTTCAGGTGGCCTTCGATCACAGTGCAGTTCTCAAGCGTCTGCAGGTTGGTCACATTGTTCCGGATGTCCTTGCTCGGACAAACTGAAAGAGACAAAAGGAAAAGACACTAAATATCTTCTTATGATTCAATTCAAGCACAAACAAAGCTAAAAACAAGACTGCGTAGATAGGCCGCCAACTGAGCGATAATTGCCTCATGAATAGGAAATGTTATCACTCTCGGACAACAAAACAAAACTCCCACAGGCAATTTATCTTGTGCAGTTGTCGGCGGATTACAACTGCTGAACGTGACTGATGCAAGACGTCTGCCCTGCTAACTGGAAAAACAGGGTTGAAGAAGTCAGACACGGTCTCAAGGAGGAAAAAAATAGCTCTCTTGGTAATTAGAGGGGATATTTTACTGAAAAATATGCGGTTATGTCTCTGGCTTTGATGAAGACCAGACGATCTTCACTGACATTTTGTTTAGCAACCGCATATCTGGCTGTGAGCCACTGTCAAATATGGAGTGCTGTCATCAGAGTGAGGCTGTGCTCATCCTCGGTTACGCTGAGTTGATTTGTGGAGTCGCTTCTGTAACTCAAGACTATAAAAAACATTAGCTAATGCGTTAAAAATATTTGTCTGTACGGGGGAACTGTAGCACGGATGACTCTTTGTCGGTCATCATCCAGACACATGATCCTGTTTGATGAGAGATTCCTTAACTGTGCTGTCGAGCAGACGGGTTACTTTTTTACTGTCTCACCTATTTTTTTAAATTCTGCTGTCTCACAATGACACAAGATGAATGTAGGTAGGGCTGCAACGTATTACAGTGAATCATTTATTGTTTATCAGATAAAAGTGAAAAAAAAAAAAAGTCAGATCCCAAAGGTGACGTCTTCTAATTACAGTCCAAAACAATAATAGCCCATTTTTAAATAAGAGTAGCAGCAGATCTTCACATCTGGGAAGCTAAATTCAGCAATTTTTTGGCCTTTATGCTCGAGGAAATTACTTAAAACACCCAATCAATCATCAAAATACTTGATTGTTTTCACTCAATCAACTAAAGGAGACATCAAGTAGCTGTGTGGTTATGTTAACCGTACTTCAACTCCAGATACAGTGATCTCAAAACCTTCTGCAAAATATATCAAACACTATTACACTCAGGGGGCTCTGTATGGAGGGGGAGCTCCCAGTAATGAGGATTTCCTCAACTCTCAACTCTGGAAATCAGCCAAACTCTCAACCATATGCTTCGTGTGACATAACACAAGTGACGGTGGTCATAAAGACGTTTTCCTTTTGCAGGTGCAGGTGGGACATTCCAGCCCCAATTTTACAGTTCACAAGTCATTAGCCTGGTGAGAGGACTGTATTTGTTTACCGACTGACCCACCATTGAGCTGGCCGCGTCAGGCCAACTGGTCAGCCATGTGGGGAAGCGGTACAACAGCGAGGCGTGCACCTCTTTATGGCAGCAGCTCCTTTTACACCTTCTGTTGCATAACAGTACAAGACTACCGGCGCACACACACACACACACACACAGTGTCCAAACAACAAGCTTTTCACTCCACGACCTTAACCAGCATGCACTCTACAGCGGTGATCTGAGTTATCTAGAGTTCAGCCGACAACGTTGAGGCTTGTTTAAAGTACACACAAAATGTCCTAACATGGGTTTAAACTGCGAGCTATTAAAAGCAACTTGGCATGTTAGAAAAGTACATTTCTCCTTTTTAAACTGCATTTAAATCTGCAGTTCTCTTTGTGGTCTTGGGAGTGTAGCCCGATTGTAAGCCACAAGCCTGTAATTTCAACACATCTACCTCCAAATGAAACATTTCCTATCAAACTGACGGTGACTGCCAGGAGTCAGCAGCAAACATAGCTTAGTGTCCATCGAGGAACATGTTTACGACTTCAAAGAGTGGCCCCCCCTCTCTTTCTCACCCCCCTCAGACCCCACACACACTCAAACAAAACAGTTTAATAGACAAAGACGCTGGCGGTCTCCAACAAGTGGGGTCCTGTAGTCACAGTACCGAGTGACCCTGTGCAAAAGGCGAATCATCACAGGGCGGCGATTCCAGGCTCCTATCAGTGTACACTTTCAGCCAGGCCGGTATTTTTAGCACCACATTCCCAATAGAGAATCTAATACACTCCGGCCGCACCGATAGTGGCTCACATTGGAAACTGGAACACGGCAGCCCTGGTGTGTAAGTGAGGAATTTTAGAGCGGCAGAAGAGAAAGAACTGGCCGAACCGACTTCTCCATGTGTGAACACTTAAGTTTTGTTGTTTTCACGAGTGAGGCGCGGAAATCAGTCCGTGACGACATAACTCAAGCAAAAAACACACCAGGTGCATCCCAGAATTTAAATGCTCTCTGTGTTTGTTGGGAAAGAGGAAAAAAAACACTGGGAGACATCACAAAGGTTACTATGGTGACAGGGCCAGCTCCAGCTATCCATACATCAACTACTCCAGCCAAAACCAGACTGAAAACACAGCCGCGGTACTCCGAATCGTCAATTACAGAGGCAGGTTTCCATCGAGCGATGCCATCGAGGCTCTCGAGACAGATGAACTTTTAAGGGTAATTAAAAGGGAGCAGTATGATGGTTTCTTATTTCAGCAACACTGAGAGCAAGGAAAGCCTGTTAATAACAACAACAGGGATCACGGCCACACTGGAGAAAAGTTTAAAAGGTTTATCTTGTTGTCATTATTAATAAATCCAAAAATAAGGCCAACAACTCTTTTTTTCTACTAACAAAACAAGGCAACTGTGATTTATCAGGCACTTATGTAGCAGACGCAAATCAAAGTGCCTTACCTGGGGGAAGAAACGTATTAGAGGAAAATAAAATCAATTTAAGCACAACAATTCATTCTTGACATTGGAAATAGTAGTTTGGCCAAACAAACCCAGTTCATCCAATCCAAGGTCCACATGTTCGCTCCCATAACTCTCAACTGTCTCACACAGTCGTCATAATGCTTAAAGCCAACACACATACACAGTCCTACGAGTGCAGTGGATGAAATCGTAACTGAGGTCAACAGATCCATCATCTCTAACTTAGCAAACCAACTCATTAAACCTGCATGTTATAGTTAAAAAGGCACTAGAAAAAGTTGTTTTTTATTTCGTCAAAACCAATTTCAGCCTCATTAATTAGATTTTAAACAAAATAAGAACAAACAAACACTACCGTTCCAGTTCAGTAATACAATCCCCAAATGTACGTTTCATAGATGCGATTAATCTGAAAATAATCAGCAGAAGAAGATGCAGTGATACAATGAAGTAAATAAGACTGTATTCAGATCCACTGGACCACATCTGAACGCGGTTTAGTCTGATTCACACTGCGATCAGACCGCCATCAAAGTCGGCCAGACGTAAAGGAAATCCATACCGCTTGATCACATGAGAGAAAATCCACCCACGAGAAGAAACTGTCAATTAGTCGATATCTGACTGCCGACTCTGTGACCCTACTTGCACAATTTCCATGTCACAATTCTGCACATTAACGCAAACAGGCTGCAAAACAAGAGCAGATAACTTCATTAATAACAAGTATAAATAATTATAACAAGTACAAATGCCGATGATATCATTGTCCTCGTAATAAATCCGCTGTGAATGCCTGGCATGAATTGCATCTAGGTCACAAGAACGGTCCTAAATTTAAATCAACATGTACTGAATCATAAATCTGAAGTGTGAACACAAATACTGCACATATCTACACCAAAAGGCTCTACGCGGCCCGTCCACTGTGTGCTCAGTGGCACAACGTACAAACCCACGAGCCTTTCACTGCAAGCGTCGACAGGCACTTCTGATCTCCTGAAGGAGGTGGATAGAGAAAGAGGGAAGGGGGGAGAGCGACAGGTTGTTAGACTGATGGCATATATTAGCGCTGAGGCCTCAGTAAGCATGCAGAAACACAAACACTCGGTGATTGCGACACTTCCCTTTTCAAGGTTTCGCTGTTCTTCAGTTGTTTTCCAACCTAGGCTAAAACTAACCACAAAATGCCGAGGTCACCGAGATACATGTTGTTCACCGAGTCCGAACTGAGCTGTGACGTAATCCACTTTAAGGAAGGGCTGTAAAACCTAATCATCTGTCGGTTTTTAAAAAGGTTTAACGTAAACACAGAACTTTCTATACCTCCGCCTTCGTTCTCTCTTCTGGATTGGTGAAATAATGAATTATAACACAAAAGATACTCCCGTTCTGAATGCAACATCAACGGCAAACAAGCTTAAATTCATCGAGACAACCGCTTGAGCTCAAGGTGACGTTTGATAAGTCGGCTCTTGGCTGCCATTACAGTTAATTAAGAGAGGTTTGTCATCTCTCCAACTGCACAGGATTAGATATTACAGCAGGTAGAAAGTGACATTACTACAACTCAGGAGAGACGCTACACTCTCTCGCAAAATTGCTCAAGAGTCATCCTCAACAGCACACGCTCTCCTATAAATGTCTCATAAGAGGGGGGGGGCAGGGTATCACATGTGCCAGCTGTTTTGGTAGAGGTGACACGGCAAGCGCAGCGCGGTGACAATACATCTCAGTCGAGGGAATAAAATGAAACCAAAGTAATTCAGGGCCCTGGTCTTTAAATAGAGTGGAACGGAGTGAAGGAGGGAGACGATAAAACCACAAAGTCCCCTCTTGGGATTGTTTGATGTGTATCCTGTGTAGAGAAATGGCTCCGGACCAAAGATCGTTTGGTGATTTGGTTGCCCACCAGCTGCACTCGCTTACAAACGACTCTCCCTGCCAAAGCTGGCAGCGTGAGAGAACAATAACAAGCACATTTCCTTTTACCAGGGTGACAATGTCAAGGGTAAAGATCTGACACAACAGCTTCTTTGTCAGACGCGAAGTGAAAGATTGCAGGAGAGCCAGATTACTCCGTTCTCAACCGGTGTATAATTTTCGAACGTGAACCTGTCAACCTGGATTAGACAGCCGTTATTGATGGTGACAGATGCAGAAATTGTTCTATTGGATCCGTGTCAAACAACTCACGACTGGTACTTGAGACAGTAGTGGCAGTGTACGTGTGTGGAGTGTTTTTGTCTGTTTTTAAAAGAGGCGGTAGGGCGGATAACCGTTTCATCACCTTACAATTGCTCTCCTTGTCAGGAAGCTATAATCAAAAGGTGCCAGGTCGCTGATTGCTGCCCCCCCGACCGGTTCTCAACAGCAGGCTGCCGGTGGCTTCGTGGCGAGCTCCTGCTGTTTGACAAAGTGATGTGTTATCATGGCACAGCAATACACTGCGGTATGACAAGCCGACCACCTGAGACCTTAACGCGTAACCCGAAGTGAACCAAGCTGGAACCTCAGTTTGAGCTCAGGCTGCTCAATTAATCGAAATTT